TAACTTTGTCGGTATCTTTCGGATTTTTTGTTGATTCAGGATGCTATTGTCAAGAACATATAAGTTATTTTTGAAGGATTCAATTTTCACCATGAGCATTATTTTGCGATTATAAGGTAATTTATTGAATGAAATCTGTTCAATTACATTCCCATGGTTCTAGGCTGAAATTCTCTGATGCAATTATTAATTTGGCCAGATTTAAAAAGAGATTTCACCTTTTTTTATTGAACAGTGCCTATATTAACTGAAAAAATGCTTGTATCTATCAAGATCTGTAAGATCATACACAAATTCCATAAATGACAACTTGAACATGTGATCCCATGAGCTTGCAACCAGTCACTTTTAATCCACGGCATTTATACGATTTATACGGCACAGTACGTATGCGGCACTTTCTACTTATACAGCAAATATGCTGTATTGCCGTGATATTTTGCGGATAGCTACCCAAAGTTTCCTTTGCACTGCACTATTATTTTATACCTTTATTTGCGCATAGCATTAAAGAAAAGAAAAGAAAAAAGAATTATGTTTATTTGATCCACTTCAAATTCTTTAACATTAATCAAAACTTGCCTGATATTACGCAACAAAACGTGATACAGCCAGCCTTCTTTGTTCTTTTAAATCATCTTTAACGTACACAAATAAATTATAGTCAACTCTTTCTATAACGAACTGACTATACTGAAAAAAAAACAAGTCATTATAGAGAAGTTTGTTATACTGTATAAAGTCGGTTATATATATATATTATTAAAACAAAAGTTAAAGGCAATGACAGATATTAGCTAATATTTTTTGGGGTGGGACCAGCTAAAATCTTAGGATGACATAATTATAGATAAATATACTATTTTTTCATAATAAAGTTAAGCATTTTGATTGGTCTTAGGTGGGAGGGGGTATGGTCTCATAGTAAATGGATATTAGATATATGTCATGGCCCTTATTGAATAAAATTATTAACCCTTTAGATTTTAAAAAAATTTCTCATTAAATAAATCAATTAAATAAGGTTCTTTATTAACATACTGTATTTGTTAAAAGAATTTATTTTAAAATTTATACAATTCTACGTATTAATTGAAAAATTTTGAATTCCGGAGCGCAACCCTTGTACACATTTTCAGTATGCCTTTGGTCACAATTTTACTTATCAGAGACTTTGACTATATTTCAATATTTGCATTTTTTTTATTCATAGCGTCAATTATACATATAATGAAAATTCTGTCCACTTCTATTGCGAGTAAATCCTAAATTCGGGTAATTTCTTACTACGTATCGCAATTTTTTCGGATAAGTCATTTATTTATGCCAAACCTTTGATCTACTTACGAAAAGGGAAAAAGAAGAAGCTACAACAAAATTTATGGGGCTCTCTTTGCATCGTTCAAATATTGGGATGGCACCTGATCGCAATGATAGTAAGCATTTTCAGATGACAATTAGCAAAAAAAAATTTTTGATTTTTTTTTATTAGCATCAAAGATGCGTAAAATGAATAAAATTATATTACAAACGAAAAAAAAAGAGCAGTATAAACAAAAAATCTCCATTCCAAGAAAGAAAATCCGATAAAATTAAACAGTGAAACTCCACAAAAAAAAAAATCTACTAATTAAAAATTTTTTTTCTTTATTTTTAAATACTTTTAAAGTCTTAAAGAGTGTATATAGTTTAGAATATCAAATTACTAAAGTATCAATATATTAAATACGTATATAGTCCTTGTTCATAGTAGTATTGTGGCATTAGAGTATAACCATGCACACACAAGCATTCCAACTAGAACAACTGGTAAGGGAATTTGTATGTTCATGGCCATTTTTGCAACGTCTTTTTTACTCATGGGGCCATTATTTCCGGTTCTAAATAACGGGAATGCTGACGTTGATGATGATCGAGATGCTGCAGAAGTTGGCGCACTACTTGATCTACTCGGTGGTGTAGTTGCTACGTTTTCAAGCATTAACGGTTTCAAATCCATGCTACTTCTCTTACTGTTATGTGGCATGTGCGTGTCAATTTCTTTCGCCAGTCTTCCTGATGTTTCTTCTCGAAGAATTGTATAATGATTTCCAGGAATCGGTCGGTGAATTGTAATGTTGCCTTGATAACGTTCCCATCCGAAATTCGGCTCATTAAATAATGGATGATCAAGTAATAAATTACTCGTTTTTCCAGCAAAGTCTTTTGCTCTCCAATAATGAATTGGGAATGGTTGAATTGAGTCCATGGTAGTAATATCTGCTGTATGGCTATACATTGATGCTATTAGTATACCAACTTTTCTTTTGAAAGCTTCGGTTTCTGCTGGATCACTAAATTCTTGACGATGCATCCATTGGCTATCAACATCTGTGAGGAGTTGTTCAATATCTGACTCCCAGATTTTATGTGGTTCATTGTATGCACTAAGTGGTGGACGAACACGATTCATTAGTGGTGATGGTGCATCAATAAGATATAATCCTCCGACTTTAGATCCGGATTTTTGTAATATTCTAGCCATTTCCCATGCGATAAGACCACCATAAGAATATCCACATAGGAAATAAGGGCCTGATGATTGTTCATCTTGAATAGCCTTAACGTATCTCTCGGCCATTGATGGAATGTCACTTTCAACATCGTTAGGAGCCTGAATACCGTATACAGGACGAGTGATTCCAAGATGACGAGATAAATGAACATAACTAGCAACATTTCCTAAAAGTGGGTGAACGCAGTAAAGAGTTGGATTATGTTTATTTATTATGGAACGTGGAGCCAAGGGTATCAAACGCGGTGCCTCCTTTGGAGCCTTGTTTGAATGTTCTTGTGATTGTGATATTTTCTCAGACGGTTTATTTTCTGAAAGCTGTTTATGAACATGGTTTGCCAGGTCATTAATAGTGTGAATGTCATATAATAATGTTGGAGCTATCTCAATACCGAAAATTTGACTCATTGAAGCAGTTAACTGCACAGCAGCAAGCGAATCAAATCCATAATCGGTAATGAGATTAGCATTGAAATTAAGTTGATCCAATGGAGTTTTTGCTGCAACTTTAGATACGGCATGAACTTGACCCGCAATTTTACTTTGAATTTGTTTAAGAGGCATTACTTCATTTGCATTCTCGCACAAAACAACCTTTTCCTTTTCATTTAGTCGCTGATGAATATAAATTGCCAAATCAGAAATTGTATAATGATCTACAATAAGAGCAGGTGCAAGTTCTAGACCAAATTCGTCTTTGAGACAAGCAGTTAGTTGAACGGCTCCAAGAGAATCAAAACCATAAACAGTTATAAGATTAGCTTTCATATCAATTTCATTAATCGGTAATTTCGATGCCAATTTGGAAACTTGATGAACATGAACGGCAATCTTTTTTTCGATTTGTGAAACATCCATAACCTTTTTTGGATCCTCGATACGACTCGAACGTTTCGAGCTCGGTCCTTCAAAATCCGGTTCAACAACAATCTCACCCGCGCTTAGTAAAATCCTTTTATCTAAATGACCAGATAATAACATATCTTTTGCTTTTGACCGTTGAAGTTTACCACTTGTTGTCTTTGGAATGCTATGTTGCTTGAGAATAACGATTCGTTGAGGTGAAAGTCCATGTTTTCCAGGAACAGTTCGAGCAATTTCGTCAATAATAAGCTGTAAGAATTCCGACCTAGTATCTTTTTGATTGCGAATTTCTACGAGGATTATAAGTGAATCTGTACCAGTTTCAGTATCAGAATGATGAAGTGCTGCAACACATCCCGGTCTGATTTCATTATGACATTCTTGAACAGAAACTTCAATATCTTGTGGATAATGATTCTTGCCATTAATTATAATAACATCTTTTTCCTATGTAATATTAATAAAATAACATTTAAGATAAATATTATGATTGAAATTTGGAACCGATTTAATTTTTCAAATGTTAAATAATTTTAATCTGTTTTAACACATGAATAATAAACGATTCCAAACTTTATACATTATAAACACAATGATACTTACTCGTCCAGTTATGAAAAGTTCTCCATTATACATGAATCCAAGGTCACCTGTTCTTAGGAAACTTCCGTTGTCAGTTATCCAATTGCCGTGGTCACTATTATTCAATTTTGCTCTAAATATGTCTTCAGATATTTCTTCTTTTCCATAATAACCTTTACCAACACTTGGACTAGAAACCCAGACTTCTCCTACAATGCAAGGTGAACAGATTTGTCTAGTTTCCCGATCCACAACTCTAACTTCGACCTGCATTATCGGACTAGGTACGCCAGTTGAAACTATATTGTTTGGATGTTCGGACTTTGACCTAACAATCACATGACCTTGTCGCAAAACTTGCGGATCAATATCAAGTACGGTAGGAACGTCATAAAGATTTTGGAAGCCAACCGAGTAAGCACAATGTTCGGCTAAACCGTATAAGCATTTAAACATTGAAAGTTTAAATCCAGCCGGACCAAACTTCTTAGCGAATGACCGAAGCGTTGACCAACGAACCGGTTCTGCACCATTGAATGCGCCCCGAAGAGAACTTAGATTTAGCGAAGCGATTGATTTTTCGTCACATTTTCGTGTTGCTAATTCGTATGCAAAATTTGGTGCCGCAGTATAAGTGGCATTATATTTGGTAATCTATATTAATAAATTAATGTTAATTAATCAATTACTGTATGTCAATGTGTCAAAATGTGAATGTGTTAATAAAATTACCATTTGAAGCCAACATTCAGGTTTTTGCAAGAATGTTAAAGGTGACATAACACATGATTGACAAGCTCCTCGAACAGTATTGAGGAATCCACCAATAAGTCCAAGATCGTGAAATTGAGGTACCCAAAAAGCGATCATAGAGTCTTCATTCAAACCAATCTCATGTTGCATAAGGTCCACGTTATGAAGTAAATTCTTATGGGTGAGCATAACACCTTTTGGATCACCAGTACTACCGGACGAAAATTGAATTACTGCAACGTCTCCACAATCAACTTCTTCAATCAATTTCTCATCAAAAAGATCCTTTGAACTTGTAACCTTTTCCCCTTCAACCCATTCCAATCCTTCTGGCCAATCTATTTTATTAGCCATTCCGAAAAAGCTTTTTGCCGCATAGAGTCTCGTGTAGAGCATATAATTCTTGTCACTAAATACAATTTTTGCGTTGGTGGTTTTAGAAAGATATTTAAACCTTGCTATATCTTTATCGGCAGTTGCAAGGTTCGGTGGAGCTATAGGCACGGCTATTACACCAGCCAACATGCATCCAAAAAGAATTGGAAGGAATTTTAAACCAGGTGCATAACAAAGTAAAATAGGATCCCCAATTTTAAGATTGGCTGTGTGACGAAGGTAATACGCGACAGCACGAGCTTGACGATATAATTCAGAGTAAGTGATTTTAGCCTCCTCTCGAACGTTAACATCAACCCAACTGAACGCAACCTTATCAGGGAATCGCTTCGCGGAGAGGCGTAACACGGTTCCCCAATTTGCAGTAGAAGCAGGTTTGACATCAAATTTTGAACGGATTGGTAAATGGAGAATTTCTTGTGAATTGGTCATTGAAGGATTAAAGAAACGATTAACAAGATCTTTACTGTAAGAAATGCAATTTTCTGTAAGTTCAAAGTCAAGCCAGCCACCAACATAGTAAGTTCCATCTTGGCCTTGCATGTTCTCTACTTTGCTATAGAAACCTCTAGCCATGCTAAGTGATGAGACTATAATAAAGAAAACCATTCATTAGTCACGTGACGTGGAATTTATATATAAATATATTTTTTTACCGTGCGGAAAGAAGTCCCAACGTTGATTATAATGAATCTCTTTTAGCTTGCCGCCCATCTTTAATAGGTCTTCTTTAAAGATTTCAGTAACTTGTGCTTGGTCAATCTCCTTGCTACCATAAGCATAAAATAAATAAGTATCTACACCTTCGTAGGCACAATAATATGCAGTAACATGTCCAACAAACTCTTTTGAGCTGCAATGTTTAGGAATTGTAGTCATTCCAACTTTTGTAGATAAACCTTCCACAGTTGCAATTATTGTATAATAATCAAATGTAACTATTTGAGAAAAAAGTTGTGTTTCAAGAGGTGAGGGATCAAGAAATTGAACGGTTTGTCGAGGATTAGTGGCAATTATGATCTGATCGAATGCGAGTGTCTGAGAGAAATTTGTTTTGGCATTTCGAACGGTGACTAGAATCGGGCCAAGGTTTCGGCTTTTGAGCGAACGATCAATAGATATTACTTCAGCATCACACATAACATTAAGACCCTACATAAACCAATATATAAAGGGCGGTTAGTCACGTGAACGCATAGGATAAAAATCATGCAGGAAATATATACATGTGTAAATTGTAAATTTAAAAAAGTACCTTAGACATTTTAATCCAGAAATCTTGGAAACCATTTTTGAACCGCCAAATAGTATTTTCCGAATTTTGAATAAATTTTAAGAAGTATGCAGCCGGTATATCATCTTGAATATAACCATATCCAGCAGAGGTATATGCCAAAGCCCAAGCATCTTTCAGATACTCCAATTTTCGATCTTTTAAATATTGAGAAATGGGAGCATATAAATGACTTTCACTTAGATCGCCATGACCAGGCAAGGTAACTTTTTCAAAAAGTTTTTTTTCCTCTAAATAATGAGACATATTTTTTGAAAAAGAGTCGGAAATAACTCCAATATGGCAAACATTTTCAATCATAAAATTGTTCTTATCAATGTCCAAAGCACCACAATAAAATTTTTCGAGAGGACAATCAAGTTCAGCCGCGATAGATTTGACTAGTGAATAATTGTGACCCACCATTAAAGCACCAACATCATAACCACGATCATTGTAATAAAAAGTTGAACTTTTCCCGGCTATATGGGGAGCGGATTCCAGTAATGTGACATTTGAGTAGCCCTCTTTACGTAAAAAGTGAGCAATTGAAATACCCGCCGGACCAGCCCCAATTATGCCTATACGAGAGGATCGAGAAATTGGTGACTGTGATGAAGTTACTTTGATCGTCGACATCTTTCGCGTATTATAATTTTAGAGTATTTTTGTATGAAGGAGATTTTTTGTCGAAAAGCGTAAAAGAGAATGAAGTTTTGCGTAACAAAAAGGGAAGGAGGTATAAGGAGTTCCTTATTTTTCTGCGGCGTCAAAAATTAAGAGTTATCAAAGTCTCTCGATTTATTTTTTGAGGTGACAGTTGACAGATCAAACAAGAATGTTTATTGTCGTAAAAAGTCTTGCAAAAAAATAGACTCCTTTTATCGATTTTCTTCATTAAGTAATAGGTAGAGAGAGAATTGTTTTTCTCAAAATATAATGGCAATAATTTTTATATGATTTACATAATAAAAAAAAATAAAAAAAAAATTATACTGCAACTTGCTCTTCACAGCGCATAATAAGTATTTTTGAGCGTTAAAACAATTATTATTATTTATTACAATCCAGATAAGCAACGTAAGTCATCTTGAAGTACATATTATTTTCTTTTAATTGTTTTATTTATTAATATATTGTCTTTTTCATATTGTCTTTTCAAATCAGGAAATTTTTTGCATATGTGTAACTATCAGGAATAATCTAAACGGGTAAATGTGTCGATCATTCGAGAGACTCAACTTGTTATTGGTAATGTTAATGAATGTTATGCGCGTTTGCTTTAAATAAAGTACGTGCCAAAAGTATATTAAGAAACTTTTATAAAAGTCATAACTATTAACATTCGTTAATTTATTATATAATTAGCACTAGATAAAGAAAAGATATAATGATAAAGTTGACAATATGATAATGCTCTCGATTACAATAAGAAATAATACATCATCTTAATATGATGAAAGCGTGCCTACACTACGCCGCTATGATATAACCACTATAACCACATTAACCGTTTTTGGGTTCATTTCAATATAGATAAGCATAAATGACTTTAGTATCCGATAAGCTACTTGTGCACACCAAGTCGTATTGTGTTAGATATGAATAAAGGCTAACCGAATTATGATAAAAAACATTCTTATTTGTGATATACAACAAGTATGCATGTACGTACGTATTTATCATATATAGCTTTATGAAAAAGAATCCATCGAAAGAATTATGCTCTACACCTGGACACATTAAAATGTTATCGACTATGAAAGCGATACTTAGACCAATCAGTTACAATAGCCCATATTTATTATGCTGTAAGACGAAACATAAACAAAACCTAATATGGAATAATATTAATTTTTTATTTGAACAATGCTCAACTACCCTATATAACGGAATCTTGAAAACAATGCTATTGAAAATAACTTCTTTTACTGCATTCATTATCGAGTATGTACGTACGTCATATGATTTACAAACATAGTGAAGACCATATAGTAAATTCATATAACAATTTTTTTTTTGTCGATCATTTTTAATGACGGCAAAACATAGTAAATTCAAACCTTTAATAACTCATAAACTAATAAAGATTTACTTATAAAATTATACTTATTCGAATCATCTTGATATGTTGTTTAACATAATAGAGCCATTT